ATTTTGTGGTTGTTGCAATAGGAGTGTTAATTTCTTTGGAATATTCCATTTTAAACCTTGTAAGCAAGTGTTTCACATACATTTGCTAAAGGATCATAGTTCCATTTGAATTTTGTTTAATTTATAAGCCTAAAAATAAATAAAGCTCACCCATCATAGTCATTTCAAATTCACTCCCCATTAGCTTAGCAAATTCTTTACTTAACTTATCATTAGTTGCTCCAAAGGTTATATCATCAGCATATATTTGAACTACCAAGAGATTTTTACCTTTTTCTTACGCGAATAATGTATTGTCAATTTTACCTATCTTGTAGCCATGCTCAAGCTAGAATTTTGATAATCTTTCATACCATGATCTTGGAGCCTGCTTGAGCCCATAAAGTACCTTGTAAAACTTGTACACATGGTCAGAACATTCCTTGCTTTTAAAGCCCGGAGGTTGCTTGACAAACACTTCTTCCTTTAGATAGCCATTGAGGAAGGCACTCTTGACATCCATCTGATGGACAGTAAATTCCATGTACGCAGCAAAGGCTATAAGAAGTCTAATTGCTTCCAATCTTTTAACTGGAGCAAAGGTTTCATCATAGTCTATGCCCTCCTCTTGACCATATCCTTGAACCACCAATATTGCCTTATTCCTTGTAACTGTTCCATGTTCGTCAAGTTTGTTTCTGAAGACCCATTTTCTACTAATTACTGATCTGCACTTGATTCTTGGTACCAGATGCAACTTCTCTCAAATTGGTGGAGTTCATCTTGCATTGCATTTACCCAGTCTGCATCTTGTAAAGCCTCAACAATATTATTAGGTTTAATAAGATATAAAAAAGCATCAAAACCACAAAGATTCTTCAAAGAAGATCTAGTTTTGATTCCAGAGGTTGGATCAGTAATTATGTTCTCAATGGGATGAGATCTTTGATACTTGTACGGTTTCACAACCAGCTGATTTCCCTTAAATGTTCCTTCAATATTTTTTTTGCTGAGGAACATGTTCATGGACAGGTTCCCTCAAGGTTTGAGGATCAGTTCCTCTTTGTTTAATTCCCCCTGTCAGGTTGCCCTGGGTGGAAGGACTCATTCCTTCCTCTGATGCAGCTTCAGTCTGGGCTGTGGTTTCGTTTGAGTTTCTTTCCAGCCCAATTGCTTCATTATCATGTTCCGCCTATCAAAAAGCATATTGGTTTCGTCAAAAACCATATGTACACTTTCATCTACACACATAGTTCTTTTGTTATAAATCTTATAAGCTTTACTATGTGAACAATATCCCAAGAATACTCCCCTCATCACTTCTGGGATAAAACATGCCTAAGGAGTCTTTACCATTATTGTGCACAAAGAACTTGCATCCAAATGCCCTAAGAAAGGATATATTTGGCTTTCTCCCTTCAAGTAACTCATAGGGAGTCTTCTCGACCAGAGGTCTAGTTGTGCACCTATTTATGATGTAGCAAGTAGTGTGCACAGCTTCTGCCCAGAAGCTTTGGGCAGTTTTACTAGAAAGAAGCATAGTCCTAGCCATATTTTCCAATGTCCTATTCTTTCTTTAAACCACTCCATTTTGTTGTGGAGTCCTAGGGGTGGAAAAGTCATGATTTATGCCTTGCTCATCACAAAATTCAGCAAATTTAGCATTCTCTAATTCAATACCATGATCAGACCTAATTGATGCAAGTTGATTACCTAGTTATTTCTAAGTTTTTTTAACAAATGAAGTGAACATGTTAAATGCTTCATCTTTAGATGTTAAAAATGGTGTCCAAGTAAAACTAGAGTAATCATCAACAAGCACCATAACATATCTCTTACCACTTCTGCTCAATGTTCTCATTGGTCCATAAAGATCCATATGGACCAGTTCCTCGTCCTAGTAATGCTTACCATTTTCTTGGGTTTGAAAGAGGATCTTACCTGCTTCCCCCTTGCACAAGCCTCACAAACTTTATATTCCTTGAACTTAATGTTAGGCAGCCCTATCACCAAGTCCTTGGAGACTAGTTTGTTGAGTTGACTTATCGCCTGTTTGGCCAAGCTTCTTTTGAGGCAAAAGCACTTTTTTTTGGTCAAAAGTGCTTTTTTCTAAAATTAAAGTGTTTGGCCAAGATTTTGAAAAGAAAAAAGTGCTTTTGAGGAGAAGCAGAAGCAGTTTTGGAGAAGCAGAAAAAAATAGCTTCTCTCCAAAAGCACTTTTCTGAAAAGCACTTTTGAGAAAAATACACTTAGAAGCAGTTTTTTAAAGCTTGGCCAAACACTAACTGCTGCTCAGAAGTGCTTTTCAAATTAATTAGCCAAACACAAACTGCTTCTCACCAAAGTACTTTTGAGAAAAGCACTTTTAAGAAAAAGCAGTTCCCAAAATAAGCTGATTTTTGCAGCTTGGCCAAACGGGCTATTAGACTGGCATGTCCAAGTCTCTTGTGCCAAAGGAGGGAATCATTATCCAACACACTTAAGCAAGTGAGTTCATTATCTTAAAGTATGGACAAATCCACAACATATATGTTGTTCACTCTTTTTTCCTACAAAACTATCTTGTCAGTGGTAAGATTAATCACAAAGCATTTAGTAGAGGTGAAGGTTACCATGTTACCTCTATCACACAATTGTGATACACTTATTAGATTGACTTCAGTCCATCTATCAAGTTTACATTCTTAATAGGGTGAGAATTAGTCTTACCTACCTTCTAATCCTAATGATTTCACCTTTCTTTCCATTTCCAAAGGAGACATTACCTCTTTTAAGGTCCTCAAGTGAAAGGAACTGGTTCTTGCTTCCTGTCATATGCTTTGAGCAGCCACTATCCATTTACCATCTTTGGCTACTCCCCTTCACTTGGACCTGCAAAAACAAATCAGGGGTTAGTCTTAACCCAAACTAGTTTGAGTCCCTTTCTATAGGCAAAAGGAAAAATCACATTTTTTAGCCCAACTTGAAAGCCTATTTTTCCTTAGAACAAAATTTTTGTTTTTTTGACTTGCCTTCTCTTTTGCAGTGCATTCACTTTTACAGTGACTAGTGTTACCACAGTCTGGACAAATCTTATTTTCAGGGAGTGTGAGGTACTTGCTTTTGGGATCCCACTTAGATGTATAGTTCCTAAAGCCAAGTCCTCTTCTGCTGCTACTATGATGTTCTTGTATCCATGAAAGTGTACTAGAGGACCTGTTCCATTTAAGGATAAACTGCTCTGATACCAATTGATGTTTAAAACTCCAATACCACACAAGAGGGAGGGTGATTTGTGTGTTACATGATTCTCATGTGCACTGGATTATCAAAGGACCTGTTCCATTTAAGGATAAACTGCTCTGATACCAATTGATGTTTAAAACTCCAATACCACACAAGAGGGAGGGTGATTTGTGTGTTACATGATTCTCATGTGCACTAGATTATCAAAGGACCTGGTTCTTCGATGAGTTCCTTACACTATAGTTACGGAATAAATAATGCAGAAAGTAAAGAACACAAGATTTTTTACGTGAAAAACACCAGGCTCGAAAGGTGAAAAAACCACGGCCTACTACCCAGTAGGATTTTTCCCAAACACTTCAGTACAACTCTGATCCAACAACAAAGTTTATCAACTCTTGCAAACCTAAGGATTACCTCTAACCCTTGTAGCAACCAGTCACATGTTATTGCGACTGCATCAAGTTAACTCTAACTTAAACAATACAACTAGAGTTCACAATCTCTTGCAAACCTAAGAATTAACTCTAACCCTTATAGCAACAAGCAACAGGCTGTTGCGACTACTTCAAGTTAACTCTAACTTGAAAGACACAACAAAGGTACCTAGTACAATTTGCTTCTTAAAAAGCTGAAAGGTACAACTCAAAACGCCCACTACACTTTGAACTAGAAATAAAGTAAGACACATAAAACTCTTTATGGGGCTGGTTCTTCAATCTGGTTCGTGTAGCTTTAGGATCGCACTCTTAAATCTCATAGGAATTGCTCACAAAATGCCTTGCTATTTTGCTCTCAATTCGTGCTTAACTTCTGTATGTGTGCATCACCTATAAAAGAGACACAACCGATATGTATAGAGTTCGTAAATAAAGATTAACTAGAGTTCTAATGCTTTACTCTTCATTGGTGGAAGAGTTTTAGTTATCTTCAACTTCTAACTCTTTCCTTATCTTGGATAGAGTTCTCTTCAAGTAAGGAGTCATGCTCCTTATCAAATATGCAACATTTTCGTTCAAAAAATATTATATAACCACTTATACTTATCCCTTTCACGTGCGTGCCTTTTGCTTGATTCTGTCTGTCACCTGTGTACATTGTCCATGCACATAATTCATGCATGTATTCCTTTGCCAATCATCAAAACCAAAATCGCTCAGGTCTAACATATTTGTTATCCTTTACCTCTTGACCAGTTCTCACCATGGAAGTGAGAGCCACGTGTTGCCATAGGAACTTTTTTTCGTTTGATATTTTTTAAAATAAAAAACTCTTTTGACCTTTTAGTTATTAATTTCTTGAATAAACTTTTTCCGGCTGAAATGTATTTAAGTATTAAATTACGTGGTTGGACATACATGACGAAATACAAGTAAACTAAACCTGAATATAGTAGTACGTATTTCCTAGTGGTCTAGGATCCCACTTTCCAATACAAATATTTTGCCCTACATGTTTAGTTGTTAAATAAGCCACTAGGAAAAAGTAGCCTAATTATGGTCTAAGTAGAGGAAAATAAATAACGCTTTTTTTTTTTTAAATTATATTTACAAGATGCATTACATGATGAAAGGATTAAAAGCAAAAGCACTAACAAGAGAAGAAAAAAATTATGCTACGTGGTAATCCGTTATTAATTAGAAAATACTTACATTAATTGTGTTTGTCAATTATTAACAAAAAAAAAAAAAGAAAAAAAAAATTCAAGTGAGGAGGTTAAGATTTAGTTGATCGGAAAGGTCTTTACTGTCAAGATAGAAAAAAGAAAGAAAAGAAAAGAGACAATCAAGCTGATATATCCATCGTACAAACAGCGGTATTCCTTCTGTTATCAAATGACCTATTTCCAAGTGAAGAATAATTAATGATGCCGCGCTCAATATTTATCTATCAAAAATTAAATTTAAATGTGAAACAATACGTTAGAAATATCCTTGAATAAGTGAAGAATTATGATTTTTCATACTCATGTTTCCTTTTCCATCTTTCTTCCCCGTTTGTTGTCCTTGTGTCAACCAAACTCTTAAGTGCCGTAAATTTGCCCTGGGGACATATTGAACGGGTCACTCAAAGTTGTGGAAATAAGGGGATGAGTAGTGACCATCACTTGCCTCTATGTGCCCTGTATAACGGAGGAGACGGATTTTTTGGATGCTAAGATGCAAAGTCGAGAGGGAAACAGCCCAGACTATATGCTAAGATCCCTAAGCAAGTCACGACTGATCTTGAATTGGCCAAAAAGCTTTCTATTCGAATGGAGTTCGACAATTGCATAAAGTTACCGTAAACAACAAAAGATGGAAAAGACGAGAAAATTGAAAATAATTAGCATAAAAATATATCCATCAAATACGCTGATCATGATTAATGCTTGCCGAATTGCCAGATGGATGAGATATCTTTCAGGAAACACTTCAATCTCTTCTGCATCACATCACAAAGTTACACAAACCTATTAGGAAATGCATGTTTTAATTAGCCAAACAAAGATCATTTGCTATTGGAATATATAGTTGTAGTACTCACACAAAAACTAGACGTTCCTTTCGCATTTGCTCCACTCATCTTTTTTCCTTTGGACCCTCTTTGATAGCATGACTCTTCGGCATCACAGGATTCTTCTCTTCCCATCTGTTCATACCTCCTCTCCTTGTTTTTTGGACGAAACAAACGGGAAAATGGCAATCCAATTCTTGTCCATCTACTTTTCTGTAACAAGTATGACTCATATTATAATTCTTGAGAATGGCAGACATAGACAAGACATAGCAGGGTCGACTAAATCCATTGTGTCTTGCTCGGACTATATATGTTTGTGCGACAAAAGAAGGGGATCACAAATAGCCGACTGGATTGGTTGTTTACATTTTCTACCGGTAAACATAGATTATACACTGATTATATACATATATTATATATGAACTATACAATGACAGATCTAGACAACTAGACAAGACATAGTAGCTTCCACAAAATCCATTGTGTCTTGCGCGGACTATGTATGGTTGTGAAAAAAAATTGGCACATGTATAGAAAACAGAATACAGTAACTCTAAATTCTGAATTCATCGCTGATAATTGATCATATTTAAAGACTAAATTGGGTGTTTACTAACTTTTCATGATAAATCAAAATGGGACTGTGAATTACATACCTTTTGCTTTTGTTTTGAATTATCGGACGTACATTGAGGGTATGTAGAATTGGCATGCCTTAACTCATGAGCATAGGCCAAGAGTTGGGCTCGATGATCGTATCCTCTTCGTCTTGCTGTTCTTTTCAATGGATGAGATCTATATTGTGAATCTATGGTTGATAAAAATTCAACATAAACACTGATGGTCACTCCTTTTTCTTCTATCCTCATTTCAAGATAACGATACATTACGTTCTAAGAAAAAAGATCGAGATATCAATCTCATCAAGATCATCAATCTCGTAAAATCCTCTCCGGCCGTGTTTTATCGCTCTTTTTTATGTTTTCATGAACTATATATTCAGCATTTCGCACGCGATATATCTACGTACGTCTACGTACAAGACAAGAAATTATAACTTGAACTATGGAGTAGGTGAAAACTACAACTTTATGCCTAATTATAACCACCAAACAACTCCACTAAGCTCCTTGTCAACTGACATGATGTAACATTATATGCCTACAAAGTCCAATGACAACTAAAATTGGTCGTTTCTATTGAGTCTTGACTGATGAAAAAAAAAAAGAATTTGTTTCTGATCTATCTATCCGGAGTATAGCTTAAAAACAAATAGGAAAAAGGTTACAAACTCTCGGTAAAAGTTACTACATAACAAAAATATTATTCACTCTTCACTTAGTCCTCCTTGGGACACGATTCAATAATGTTTTTATCCTTCAAAAATTTTCCATTTAATCAATCATCAATTCAATTTTTATCTGTACTTATCTAATTATTATTATTTCTAATTAGTTCAAGTACCCTTTTAAATTTGGGAGGTTAGGTCTATTTTCGTTCTTATAAAACACTAAAAAGATAATATTTTTTTTGATAATCGTGATGTCCAGACCAGTTTATATGCACTTTGATTAATTCCTGAGATACCTGCAACTTCCCACTAACAGTCAGGTACCTGGTAATAGTATTTTTAGTTTGCTAACAACAGGTGTTGTTTAACTAAAAAGATATTACAATTTTTTTAAATAAATCAATCAAAGAAATGATAGGGTAAATCTCAGTCACACATAATGAATTCCAGATCAATGAACTAGATGAAGAACAGGATATAAAGAGAAGAGAAGACAAACGATCTCATTGAATAAATCAATCAAAGGAAATCAGAGGGTAAATTTCAGTCACATATAATGAATTCCAGATCAATGAACTAGATGAAGAATAGGATATAAAGAGAAGAGAAGAAAAACAATCTCATTGAAACTTTCCAGTATTGTTCTCATTAATCGATAAAGGAGAACATGTTACATATCATATCAATCACCAAGGACTGCCTCGTTCCTCCTTCTCTTTGACAAAGTTATAGAGAGAGGTAGATGGAGAATTTGAGAGCCCTCTCGAGAGAGAGAGAGTCTTTTTTTCTATTTATAGTCATAGACCTCTCGATGTATACTGGACTCGATATTTTCCCATGCCTCCTCTGCCTCAGTCGTCCTTTGGGATCGTTCCTTCTCGTTTCGTCGTTTGAACGGGGCATTGGTCGGCCTGGCCGTTGTGGTCAGATTTTGACCAATACAGTTAGTCCCTCCGTCTGTCGGGGTCGTCCCCTGTCGGGCTCGGCAGACGGACCTTGATCATTATCAACCCGAGAAAAATTTAACTATTTTCCCTTCAGCTATGCCCCTTAGATTTGGACGAGATGGCGGCGCTCTTTCAATATTCCTGGACTGTTGCGACGGTGTCGGAACCGAAACATCGTTGAGCTGAATCGTTATTTCGTGGTTGCTGCCATTATATCACACGTTCCCAATGAATCGAAACGTTTCGCGTGTCACCGGGTTTGATTTCACCGGGTTTGATTGGCGACTCTTGGGTTTCGTGCTCAGGAGACCAATGTCTCTTATAAATAGGAGAAATACATCATTCGATCGACACATTCCTTTGCTTTTTGTTTGCAAGAAATCCTACGAATATACTTTTCTTCTTGGTTCTTCAAACTCTACTTGTCCCATGCGAGCCGAGAACTTAAATCCCTTTCTTTCATAGCCTCTTTTCTTTGTCAATTTTGCACAATGGTTGGTAGTTCTTCTCGCGTTGATCCCCCCCACCCCAATTCCAGCGCCGGAAAATGATACTCCGGCCACCGGAGGGGCAAAACTGGTGGAGGATGATGAGGTTCCATCGGTGGCCGAGATCTTGCCCCGCCTTGGGAGAGCGGGGACTGATTTCAGCGGTCGCGCCAGGGAGGAGCCAGAACCTGTCCCTTCAGTGATGAAGGAGGAGGATATTGCAGATTCGAAAACCCGGTGGGGAATTCCCAATTATGTCAAAATGCGGCCGGCGGTAGGGCACGACATCGTCCATTTTAATCGTTCTGGGTATTGTGTGTTCTACGCGTACCCCTTCCTTATTGGGTACACTCTTCCTCTCCCTCTCCTGGTGGTGGACTTCTGTCGCTTTTATGAGGTATGCCCTGCCCAAATCTCGCCATACATGTACAAACTGTTTCTGATGTTACTCAAGTTCGCAGAGCTCGCCGGCCGTGAGGTCACTTTGGGGCATATGCTCAACATCTTCGCCCCTTAGCATATTCGTGGTACGATGATCCACATGCGCCATCAGGGGTCGAAGAGCTTGGTGGTGAAGATGGACGACAGGGCTAACTGTCATTTCTATGAGAATAACTTCTACGTGCGGACCAAGCACCTCGTGGCGGATCCAACGGGGTTCCCCGAGAAATGGAACTTTGCGCGTAAGTTTGTATGTTGTTTTATTTTTAGTCGAAGGGATGCACGGCCATTTCTTGTCGTGATACTAAATCTTTGCCAATTTTTGCAGCCACGAGATTGCCTCATCCACCTGTCGAAAGTATCCGTGAGTGGGTGAGCGCTATTCTTCCTCATATGGTGGGGGTCCGCACGTGGGTGGCCTTCTATGACAAGTATGGGCGCAAGCCTCTTTCTGGTAAGATGTCATTCTGTTTGCCGTTTTTCTCCTTCCCCTCTTTGTGTTTAATTTATCACGTGCTGCTCATCGATGTCAGGGAGGGTACGGAGAGTGAGGGCTCCTCCGTTAGCTTTCCGGCAACCAGTCTCATCTACTCTTCCTATCGCAGTACCCACTGCCCGTCCTTCGTCGAGGGCTGCTTCAGTTGAGTCTGTGGTAGCGGTTACTCCTACTGAAGCCGCTTCTCAGACTAAAGTTTTGACTCGCGTTGCTCGCCCGAACGGTGAATCTCCGCCTACTGAGGACGAAGGGGAGCCGTCCAAAAGGCGGCGAGTGGAGTTCGAGACAACGCCCCCAACTGTGATTCATCTGGACAACTCTCCTTAAGCGGGATCTGGAGTGGGGGTTGATACGGCTCCCCCCGTAGGGACGGAGCCAGCCGTTGCATCTCCTCAATCAGAGATTCCACCGATTGTCGGTGATCAGCATCATGCCGCTACGGAGGGTCAGGTTACAGGGGCCGCCGTTGTGGTTTCGGACGTACCCTCGTCCTCTCTGCTCGGTCATACTTCCTCTCCAGCTGCTGACAGAGGAAAGGGAGTTGTGGTCGACGACTACGAGGCCGAGTCGGACCTCGACCCGGATGATGTTAGGATGTTTGAGGAGGGCATTACCCATTCGGTGGTTCATGCGGGAGGTCCGGCCCGCTTCCTTGAGATTCCTTCAGATGTCAACCTTCTGGGGGACCTGGAGGGTTTGGTGTCGCAGTTCGATATTCTGTGCTCTGAGGCCGAGAATACAGCCCTTCGGAACGTTCCTGATACTGATTTGATGGACGAGGTGGCCGCTATGGGCTTAAGAGTACGTTACATTCCCTGTTGCTTTTCTTTCATTTTTCTTGATGACGGGGTGCTAACCCATCTTCTCATTTTTCAGACGTATATGTTGGAGGTGGAGAGTATTCGCAGGGCCAAGATTTTCTTGAAGATGCTGGAGAAGTATCAGCGCTATCACGAGAAGTGCCGCGAGATGCATGAGCGGCTGAAGGCGAACCCTTGTGATCGGACTCTCGGCGAGGAGTTGGAGAAGAAGGACCAGGAATTGATGCAGGCTATTCGCAGCAAGAGTGCGCTTAAGGAGAAACTTCGTGCGAAGGATGAAGAGCTCGAGCTGGGCAAAGGAGTTGCTGCAGAGTGTGAATATTTCCAGGAGAAGCTGAGGTCAATGCAGTCTGAGATGGATCAGAACCTCCTCAGGGTCGAGGCAATGAGTGCGGAGTGGGTGGAAAAATTGGCCGAGATGGACATTGATGTTCTAAACGTCAATACCACACAAGAGGTGGGGTGATTTGTGTGGTACCCAATTTTCGCTCTAGAAGAACCAGGTTCTTCTAGGTGTTCTAACTACTACTATTTGCGGAATAATAAGTACATAAAATAAAGAACATAAAGATTTTTACGTGGAAAACAAAGGTGAAAAAACCACGACTTACTACTGTCGACGCCCCCTTTTTCTCGCGAAATCGGGTTTACGACATTTGGGAAGACAACTCTATTCCCATTTCGGAATTGGGTTTTTTGATTTGAAAAATCGCCACCTAATGATTAAGTGCATTAGGATACCACGAGTTTTGAGTTGGAAAACCAGAGTTCGGGTAAGGGCTAGAAATTATCTCGAGGGAAAGGTGTTAGGCACCCCTCAAGATCCACTAGTGTGGTTCCCGGACATGCTATGTTGTGACTTTAAATACAAACGAGCATACAAACAATTCCACATAAAGATTGCATGTAAGTATGTATAATGGTTGACAAGCATGTTTGACATTAAGATCTAGGTGGTCTCACAAATTGTTTAAAGGAATGTCCAAGTGCAGAAAATTAAACAAAGAAGTGAGTGAACATAAATTTTAAAAGAATAGTGCAGGAAGTTGAGGAAGAATTTGGTGACTGAAACGAAAGACAGAGTTTTATTGATAATAACAAAGTTATATAAAGGAAAGGGGTCCTAGGTTTGTAAAACACATGGATCATCCATACAACACCGGTAGCCAATCGTACACATGGTGTTATCGCGTGATTATCATCTCCATGTCTACCCTTCCCACCCCGTTAAGGTGTTAAGCGCGGAAGGGTATCGTTACCTACTGCATGCTATTACCCGTCCCACCTATCAGTCCCGGAGGCATTTGGGACTACTAATCCTAAAGGGAGGGAGCTTGGCTTTTCAGAGTTTTAAAAGGATAAAAATCTAGGGCAACAGTCAAAACACATAATGCAATAAAAGGTGAACAAGTAGCAATTAAGGGCTCAAACAGGCCTCCTCATTTTAAGAAACAAATTGTTTAGCATGTCTTACACATACATGATTTGGTCTGAATTAAATTAAAGCGTAGGATAGGTTGATTTACCACATATTTCCTAGATAGGGAGTCCGAATTAGTCCTACATAGATGTAGTTGT